CTTTTTCCTGCCGAACTTCTTTGGCTAAAGTCTTTACAGTCTTCACCTGTTCCTGCAGGTCAGGAGGGATGATCTTTTTGACTACGGAAAACAGAGACCTTATGATCAGAGGGGTCAGCGCTCTAGTGAGCCCCCAATCTCTATTTCCAGCCCTTGCAACACTGAAGCTGCCCCAGAGAACGGCAGAACCTATCACTTTATCCTGCATCTCCTGGTGACTGGGAAAGCAGGAGGGGAAGAAGGGAGAGAAGACTGTCCATAGCCCATAAAACATCCACCTGGGGCCTGACATCCTAAAGGGCTTTGGGACAACAGACTCACCAGTTCCATCCACCACAAAAATCTTAATTATTCTCTGGGCTTGGAGTTGGGAATAGACAAATGTTACGTTTTGTTTGGTTTGAGACAGGATCTCACTCTGTCACCCAGGCTGGAGTGCAGTGATAAGATCACAGCTCACTGCAACCTCTGCCTCCCTGGCTCAAACGATCCTCCCACCTCAGCCTCCCGAGTAGCTGTATTACAGGTGTGTGACACCACACTGGCTATTTTTTGTGTGTGTAGAGATGGGGTTTTGCCATGTTGCTGAGGCTGGTCTCAAACTCCTGGTCTCAAGTGATCTGCCCGGCTCTGCTTCCTCAGGTGCTGGGATTACAGGCGTGAGCCATTGCTCCCAGCCAAAATGTTAAGTTTAATTCTTCAGCATTCTCTCCCACCCACCTCCCAATGCTACTGCTTTCTATAACCAGACACTCTCCCCAGCTGCTGTGCAGAGAGCCTGACAAAGCCACAAGCACCCGCTCCACTCCTCTCCTGCGGCTTAGATCTTTCCTTTGCCCACCCATTTTTCTGGACTGCAAAGGCTGTGAGACATACTGTTTTCAGGGGCTCAGGGAGAAGTCTAGCAGCCAGGAGTTGAGGCCAGGGGAGACCCCCTGAACCCAGAGACGGTGGTTTCTCCTCTGTCGGCAAGAGGCACCCACCCATCTTCGCCAGCAGGAACTGTATCTTCTCCATCTCGGTTTGGCCAGTCTCCTCCTCATCCAGATCCTTCATACTCTCCTTTAGCTCCAGATAGAGGCCGCTGAGCTCTCCCATCAGACGAAACGTTTCCATTGCTGTGGGGAAACTAGAGCTCATTCTACCCAGTGAATCACGGTGCACACTCGGGACCTCACTCAACACTTCGCTCCTTTGTGATGACACTCGGCTGAGGGAGTCTGGACTCCTGAAAAGGCTGGTATCTTGGCCTGGGGCCACCTGGGCAGCAATTCCAGGCTGGTCTGAGGATTGCGTTCTAATTGGAAGCAAACCTTCCTGGCTATGCTGATCAGCACTTAGGTACCTTGGGCCACCATAGCTAGGATGCGTTAAATCACGGCTGTCTGCAAGAGAGAAAGCACGGCTGCGCTGAGCTGCATCTGGGTGTACCTGGTCGTGCTCACCTGGGCCACGTGATGTCAAATGCTGCTGATCTGGGCGTGTAGATTCCAAGTCTGTGCTCACTGGTGTTGGGCCACGCTGGTGTATCAGGGTGCCAGGTTGCATCAAACCTTGCTGATAAGTTTCTGGTGGTACCAAACTCCTTCGGTCTATACCAGGTGATGCCAAACCTTGAGTAGCTAGGAGTGGTGACACCTGGCCGTGCTGTTCTCTGCTAGGAGGTACCACACCATGTGGATATGGACGTGCTGATATAAAACCTGTAGGATCCGCCTGGAATGTTGAAGAGCGACGAAGCTCTGTGGCTGGTGCCATCGAGCCTCGATGATATGCACCTGGTTGTCTCAAACCATACTGATCCACTCCAGGCTGCACCAGACCACGTGGGTATGTCCCAGGTTGAAACAAATCATGCACATGTGCGCCAGGCTGGACTGAACCACGAGGATCTGGACCAGGTTGTACCAAACCAGGAGGATAGGCACCAGGTTGTACCAAGCCACGTGGATCTGCCTGAGGTTGCACCAAACCTTGCTGATCTATTCCAGGCTGCACCGTACCAAGTTGACCTGTACCAGGCTGGACCAAACCAGGCTGATCTGCACCAGGTTGGACCAAACCACTCTGATCCATTCCAGGTTGCACCAAACCATGCTGAACCACTCCAGGTTGGATCAAACCACGCTGAACTGCACCAGATTGTGCCAAACCAGGCTGATCTGCACCAAGTTGTGCCAGACTATGTTGAATTGCACCAGGTTGTGCCGAACCACGCTCATCTACTCCAGGTTGGCCCAAACCAGGCCGGACTGCACCAGGTTGTGCCAAACCATGCTGGTCCACTCCAGGTTGTGCCAAACCACGCCGAACTGAACCAGGTTGAGCCAAACCACGCTGAACTGCACCAGGTTGTGCCAAACCACGCTGATCCACTCCAGGTTGTGCCAAACCACGCTGAACTACACCAGTTTGTGCTAAACCATGCTGATCCACTCCAGGTTGGACCAAACCAGGCTGAACTGCAAGAGGTTGGACCAAACCACGCTGAACTGAACCAGGTTGAGCCAAACCACGCTGAACTGAACCATGTTGCACCAAACTACGCTGATCCACTCCAGGTTGTGCCAAACCAGGCTGAACTGCACCAGTTTGTGCCAAACCACGCTGATCCACTCCAGGTTGTGCCAAACCACGCTGATCCACTCCAGGTTGTGCCAAACCACGCTGAACTATACCAGTTTGTGCCAAACCATGCTGATCCACTCCAGGTTGTGCCAAACCAGGCTGAACTGCACCAGTTTGTGCCAAGCCACGCGGATCCACTCCAGGTTGGACCAAACCACGCTGAACTGAACCAGGTTGAGCCAAACCACGCTGAACTGAACCACGTTGCGCCAAACTACGCTGATCCACTCCAGGTTGTGCCAAACCAGGCTGAACTGCACCAGTTTGTGCCAAACCACGCTGATCCACTTCAGGTTGTGCCAAACCAGGCTGAACTGCACCAGTTTGTGCCAAATCACGCTGATCCACTCCACGTTGGACCAAACCAGGCTGAACTGCACCAGGTTGGGCCAAACCGGGCTGAACTGCACCAGTTTGTCCCAAATCACGCTGATCCACTCCACGTTGGACCAAACCAAGCTGAACTGCACCAGGTTGGACCAAACCGGGCTGAACTGTACCAGCTTGTGCCAAACCGGGCTGAACTGCACCAGCTTGTGCCAAACCACGCTGATCTATACCAGGTTGCACCAAATCACGCTGATCTGCAGCAGCTTGTGCTAAGTCACGCTGACCTCCAGGTTGGATCACACCATACTGATCTGTACCAGGCTGGAACAAACCAAACTGATCTATGCCAGGCTGCACAAAACCACTCTGATCAACTCCTAGCTGAACCAAACCATGTTGATCTATTCCAGGTTGGACCAAACTACGTGGATCTGCACCAGGCTGTACCAAATCACGTGGATATGTACCAGGCTGTACCAGTCCAGGTAGATACACGTCAGGCTGTATCCAGCCACTAGGAAATGTACCAGGTTGTACCAGACCATGCTGATCCATGCCAGGGTGGACTAAACCAGGTGGATATGCACCAATCTGTACCACATCAATCCGATCTGTACCAGGTTGGACCATGCCAGGCTGATCTACAGCAGGCTGTACCAAACCACCCTGACCTGCACCAGATTGGACCAAACCATGCTGACCTGTGCCAGGCTGGACCAAACCAGATTGATCCATTCCAGGCCAGACCAAGCCAGGCAGATATGCACCAGGCTGCACCAAACCATGCTGAAATCTGCCAGACTGGATCAAATCATGCTGCTCTGTGCCAGGTTGTATGAAGCCAGTTGCTTCCAAACTGGGCTGCACAAAACCTTGCTGATCTGCACTAATTGGTATCAAACCAGGTGGTACCACACCATGCTGGTCTGTAAAAGGTGGAACCAGTCCATGTTGATCTATGCCAGGCCATACCAATCCTTGTTGGTCCATATCAGGGGGTATCAGTCCTTGCTGACCCATGACTGATATTACAAATCCATGCTGATCCGTGGCAAGTGGTTCCATACTGCGTTGGTCTGTGCCAGGAAGTGTCACACCAGGCTGGTATGGGCTGAGTGGAACCACAGCATGCCGGTCTGTGCTAGGTAGTTCCAATCCTTGCTGGTCTCTGCCAGGTACTGATAGTGGCACCATACCTTTCTGATCCATGACAAGTGGTACCAGTTCCTGATCATCCATTTCAGGTGGCAGTACACCAAGCTGACCCATGTTGAGGGGGACCGCACCATGCGGGTAGGTGCTAGCATGCATGAATCCAGGCTGATCCACGCCAGTTGGTTCTAACCCATGGCGATCTGGCCTTGCACGGACCTGACTCTGGCTAGTGGGCACCCTGCTGGGCTGGCCACTGGCCAAGGTTAAGTCCTGTTGAGCTGGGCCAGGACGTGCCTCTTGTTCATCTCTTCTTGGATGTGTCGAGGTAAGCTTCTCTTTACTTCGTTGACGATCGGAGTCTAATTTGAATCGGAATACAGAAGACGGATGGAGTTGTGGCATGTCAGCCTCATCACGGGCCCTCGGCTGCTGCTGTCTACCAGCACCAGTGGGGGGCCTGCTTTGTTCCCTGCCAGTCACCCCATCAGAGGGGTGTGCTGTGCCACTAGACCCTGATGCAGTCTGATCCGGGCCAAGACCCCTGGCAGAATCCAGAGCCTGGTCAATACTTGGTTGCTTGGTAGGTGCTCTGCTTAGAGTCGCATCAGATGATGTTAAGGAGGTGAACCCTCTGCGCTTAGAAAATTCCATGAGTGTTTCTGAGCCCTGGATGGAGAGAAGAAGGAAATCGGTAACACTCAAAATAGTCACTATCAGAGTTGAAATAACGGAAATCTGGGATATCTGACTAAGATGATTTAGGTTCCCTGGAGAAAAAAACCTTCTGGTGCTAAAAGCTAAGCTTGACATAAAGAAACACACTGGGCCGGGAGCGGTGGCTCAAGCCCGTAATCCCAGCACTGTGGGAGGCTGAGGCGGGTGGATCATGAGGTCAAGAGATCGAGACCATCCTGGGCAACATGGTGAAACCCCGTCTCTACTAAAAATACAAAAAAAAAATTAGCTGGGCATGGTGGCACGTGCCTGTAATCCCAGCGACTCAGAAGGCTGGGACAGGAGAATTGCCTGAACCCGGGAGACGGAGGTTGCGGTGAGCCGAGATCGCGCCATTGCACTCCAGCCTGGGTAACAAGAGCGAAACTCCGTCTCAAAAAAAAAAAAAAAAAAAAAAAAAAAAGAAACACACTGATGTTCTGGAAGGCTAGGCCTCCAGATTTTTGAGAATCTGCATATTTGTAAATGAGACGTACAAAAATATGTAATTTTTGTGGCCGGGCGCGGTAGCCCACGCCTATAATCACAGCACTTTGGGAGGCCGAGGTGGATGGATCACTTGAGGTCAGGACTTTGAGACCAGCCTGGCCAACATGGAGAAACCCTGTCTCCACTGAAAATACAAAAATTAGCCAGGTGTGGTAGTACGTGCCTATAATCCCAGCTAAGGAAGCTGAGGCAGGAGAATCGCTTGAACCCAGGATGCAGAGGTTACAGTGAGCTGAGATTGCGCCATTGCACTCCAGCCTAGGCAACAGAGTGAGATTCCATCTCAAAAATAAAATTTTTAAAAAGTGTAATTTTTATTCATAAAAGATGGGAAAATTACAAAATACAAGTGATCCTCTGGACTTCTGCCGAGCCTTTAAATAAAGGACATAATGCATAAGTTTAAAATATAAAGTCTGGGTCAGGCACAGTGGCTCACACCTATAATCCCAGCACTTTGGGAGGCTGAGGCAGGCAGATCACCTGAGGTCGGGAGTTCGGGACCAGCCTGGCCAACATGGTGAAACCCCGTCTCTCTCTCTCTCTCTCTCTCTCTCTCTCTCTCTTTTTTTTTAAAGACGGGGTTTTACCATGTTGGTCAGGCTGGTCTTGAACTCCTGACCTCAGGTGATCTGCCTGCCTTGGCCTCCAAAGTGCCTGGATTACAGGCGTGAGCCACCATGCCTGGCCTGAAACCCTGTCTCTACTAAAAATACAAAAAATTAGCCGGGTGGGGTGGTGGGTGCCTGTTGTCCCAGCCACTCAGGAGGCTAAGGTAGGAGAATCACCTGAACCCGGAAGGCAGAGGTTGCAGTGAGCCAAGATTGCTCCTCCGCACTCCGGCCTGGTGACAGAGCAAGACTCCGTCTCAGTCAATCAATCAATCAATCAATAAAATATAAAGTCTGCCCCATTGTTGATGATAAAAGTGTATACTGGAAGGTATGTGAACCATATATTTAAAACATATAGGCTAGGTGTGGTGGCTCATGCCTATAATCCCAACACTTTGGGAGACCGAGGCAGGTGGATCATTTGAGGCCAGGAGTTTGAAATCAGTCTGGCCAATATAGTGAAATGCTGTCTCTATAAAAATACAAAAAATCAGCTGGGTGTGATGGTGTACGCCTGTAATCTCAGCTACTCGGGAGGCTGAGGCAGAAGAATCGCTTGAATCTGGGAGGTGGATGCTGCAGTGAGCAGAGATCGTGCCACTGCACTCCAGCCTGGGTGACAGTGCAAGACTCCATCTAAAAACACTATCCAGCATCCAATGCAGCTGGCACCTGATCAAAGATTGCTAGGCATACAAAGAGGCAGGAAGACATGACCCATAATGAAGAGATAACCAACTGAGACCAACTTAACACTGGCATATGTGTTAGAATTAGCAGAGATGGACATTAAAACAGGTATAGCTATACACACACATGAACACACACTTTAGAGACAGGGTCTCGCTCTTTCACCCAGTCTGGAGTGCACAATCACAGCTCACTGCAACCTTTAACTCCTTGGCTCAGGCAAGCCTCCCTCTGCAGCCTCCCAAGTAGCTAGGACTACAGATGCATGCCACCATGGCTGGATAATTTTTTTTTTTTTTTTTTTGAGACAGAGTTTCGCTCTTGTTGCTCAGGCTGGAGTGCAGTGGCACAATCTTGGCTCACTGAAATCTCTACCTCCCAGGTTCAAATGATTCTCCTGCCTCAGCCTCCCGAGTAGCTGGGACTACAGGCATGCGCCACTACGCCTGGCTAATTTTGTATTTTTAGTAGAGACCACATTGGTCAGGCTGGCCTCAAACTCTTGACCTCAGGTGATCTACCTGCCTTGGCCTCCCAAAGTGCTGAGATTACAGGCGAGGGCCAAAGTGCCCACCTTTTTTTTTTTTTTTGAGACAGAGTCTTGCTCTGTCACCCAGGCTAAAGTGCAGTGGCACGATCTTGGCTCACTGCAATCTCTGCCTCCTTGGTTCAAGTGCCTCAGTCTCCCAAGTAGCTGAGATCACAGGCATGTACCTCCACGCCTGGCTAATTTTTTGTATTTTTAGTAGAGACGAGGTTTCACCATGTAGACCAGGCTGGTCTCAAACTCCTGACCTCAGGTGATCCCCCCGCCTCAGCCTCCCAAAGCACTGGGATTACAGGTGTGAGCCACCACACCCAGCCAGCACTCATTATTTTTAATTCCTATCATCCTCAGAAATGATGGGGTCTCATCTGATGCCCTTAATAAAAACTGTACCAGCTTTTCTAGGACCGCATTCCTCCCCCTGCCTCTGGCTGTTATGTCCATTTGTCCAGGACTTTGAGGTGTTTGTTCTAAAAAACCATTATTTTGATTTTAGTTACTATGGCACACTAAATATAAGCTCTCAAAGATATCCACGTCCCCATCCTCCTAACCTGGAAGCGTTACCTTACGTGGCAAAAGGGATTTTGCAGTTGTGATTAAGGATCTTGAGATGGAGAGAGCATCCGGGTTACCCAGGTGGATGCAGTGATGAAGTCACAAAGGTCCTTACAAGAAGGAGGCTGAAGGTGATGTGGCCAGAGCCAAGGGCTGCTGGCCACATTTAGAAGCTGAAAATGACCAGAAATGGATTTCCCCCCAGAGCCACCTGCCAACAACTTGACCTCTGCCCCGTGAAACGTGTTGCTGGGCTTGCATCCTCCCTATCTGTAAGGTAACAGATCTGTGTGGTTTTAAGCCACTAAGTCTGTGGTCATTTGTTGGAACAGCCACAGGAAGCACACATTGTCCCCTCTTTCCTCCCATGACTGACTGGCTAGTCTTTCCAGTTTACCTTTTTTTTTTTTTTCTTTTTTTTGAGACAGTTTTCACTCTTGCTGCCTAGACTGGCTGGAGTGCAATGGCACAATCTCGGCTCACTGCAACCTCTGCCTCCTGAGCTCAAGCGATTCTCCTGCCTCAGCCTCGTGAGTAGCTGGGGTCACAGATGTGTGCCACCACACTGCTAATTTTTGGATTTTTAGTAGAGACAGGGTTTCACCATGTTGCCCAGGCTGGGCTCAAACTGCAGACCTCGGGTGATCCACCCGCCTCAGCCTCCCAAAGTGCTGGGGTTCGAGGCATAAGCCACCGCGCCCCGCCCCTCTTGCAACATCTTCTGATGCTGCTTTCCTCTGAGGATGAGCCCTGAGATCGGGAAACAGTCCTGGAGATCCCAGGGGGTCTTTTGTACACAGATATTTGGCACTCTCCAAAATGGCCACTTGGTGGCACCAAAAGCTTTACTCTTTACCCTCCTGTCCACATTTTGAAACGGCCCTCAAAGCTCGCTTGATCGTTTTGATAACCCACTTGCCCAAAGCCAGTGGGAGGAATGTGAAAACCAAAAGGGAAGCTAAGTCTCATCTCTGAGGCCATTTGAAAATATCCAGCTTGATTTTATTCAGATGAAGGTAGGTTGGGAATCTGAAAACAATTTGGTCATCTGTACACTGAACCAAGACAGACAGAAGCCTGTGTGCAAAAGTCATCAGCAGCAAAGGGTCCCCTACAGAGGTTTTAATTCCACGGTCGGTCACCATGTCCGCTAATAAGGAAAGGTCCTACATTTCAGGACACGCTGTAAAGAAAGTTTGAAAAGCTACAAAAGCAAATAAAAACTACACTCAGGTACGATTTTCTGTTGACCCAGTCGGTTAGCAAAACTAAAAAAATTGGGTGCCAGCATACAGTGCTGGGGAATGTCAGGGAACAAGTGCTCTCTTCCATTGCCGGCGGGAGTCTCCATTGGAATGGCAGCCATGGAAGGCAATTTGCCAACGGCTAGCCAAATCACTAATGCACATTCTGTTTCTAGGGATGCACGCTATTCACACGTGAGTGTCACCTTGCTCTTAAGACTGGAAAAACCATGTAAAATATCCACATTATGAAACTTGTGAACGATGAACATCCATAGAACAGAATCCTGTGCAGCTATACAAAGCGAGAGGTTCTGGGGAGCCCCACCCAAGACCACTGCCCAGGCCCCCACTGGTTCACCGATTGTGAGGCTCTCCAGCCGTCCGTAATCGCCTGCTCCAGCTCTTCCCAGGTGACCATGGTGACTTCTTCTGCACCAGGAACCAAACTGAGCTTCCGGCTGACCAGTTCCTGACAGTGACAGGCAAGACACACACATACCCCTTGATTAATCCCAAGAAGCTTTAGGAACAGACTTGGTCTAACAGGATCTGTGTGGGTCCTTCACAGCCCTAGCCCCAGGGAGAATTCATCACCCTTCAAGTGACCAGCAAAGGCTGGGCAGCCAGTTCTCTGTCCCATGTGGGCGCCCAGTAGAGAGCTGGGCAGGGATGGGGCAGATTTCCCTCTAATCCTAGGGGCAGAGACTTGGGAGGCAGAAGGCACACACTGCCTACCCCGGAGGGACAAGCCCTGGAGAGAGGGCCACGCTGAGAGAGGGCCAGTCCCCTGGAGATCCCCTTCCCATGGAACTGGCTGGTATTACCAGGAATTGTTCCCGATCTTTCAGTTGCTTCTCTAGTTCATCAACCCGCTGTAAAAGTACCTGGAAGAAGAGTTCAGGGAAGGAGAATGACAGCAGCCCCTACGCACGTGCACACACACACCCACACACTCACACTGACACATTAACACACATACACTCACACAAACACTCGTACACTAACACACACACTGACACCCTAACATTGACACACTAACCCATACACTCATACACTTGGCCTCTGGAGTAGCTGGGATTACAGGCATGCGCCACCACACCTGGCTGATTTTTGCACTTTTAGTGGAGATGGGGTTTCACCATGTTGCCCAGACTGGGCTCAAACTCCTAGCCTCAGGTGATCCACCTGCCTTGGCCTCCCAAAGTGCTGGAATTCCAGGTGTGAGCCACCGCGCCCCGCCCCTCTTGCAACATCTTCTGATGCTGCTTTCCTCTGAGGATGAGCCCTGAAATCAGGAAACAGTCCTGGAGATCCCAGGGGGTCTTTTGTACACTCACACACTCTCTCTCTCTCACACACACACACACACACACACACACACACACACACACACACTCTGACTCAGTGTCAGGAGATGAGGAAAGGAGGAATTCGTGTGGCTCTTATGGAAAGGGAGGGTTTCTTCTATTTGGGTTTTTTGGTTGTTTTTGTTTTGTTTTGTTTTTTAGACAGAGTCTCACTCTGTTGCCCAGGCTGGAGGGCAGTGGCGCGATCTCCACTCACTGCAACCTCCGCCTCCCAGGTTCAAGCAATTCTCCTGCCTCAGCCTCCCGAATAGCTGGGACTACAGGCGTGTGCCACCATGCCCAGCTAACTTTTGTATTTTTTGGTAGAAACGGGGTTTCACCATATTGGACAGGCTGGTCTCAAACTCCTGACCTCGTGATCGCCAGCCTTGGCCTCCCCAAGTGCTAGGATTACAAGCGTAAGCCACTGCACCCAGCCGTTTGGTTTTTTGAGACAGGGTCTCGCTCTGTCACCCAGGCAGGGGTGCCACCACAGGTCACTGCAGCTTCAACTTCTCAGTCTCAAGTGATCCTCCCACCTTAGCCTCCTGAGTAGCTGGGACTTCAGCCATGCACTACCACATCCAGCTCATTTTAAACATTTTTTTTTGTAGAGATAAGGTCTTGCCACATTGCCCAGGCTGGTCTCAAACTCCTGGGTCCAAGCAATCCTCCAGCCTTGGCCTCCCACAGTGCTGGGATTCCAGGCACTAGTCCCTGCATGCTGCCTTCTGCCTGGTTTTTACCTCCCAGGTCTTTTCCCAGCCAAGCACAGGAAGGGAAGTGAGATGCAGGGGACCCTGGGGGGTGGCATGGCAGGAGCAAACACTGTTGCAGAGATGGGACCTCTTGTCCTGGGATTCAGTTTGCTCCAGCCCACTCATGACAGCCTGGAGGATGAGGCCCACCTTGCCTTGCAAGGAAGAAGGTGCCAGGTACCTCAACAGGAGCTGAACATCTGTGCTGTCTAAAGAGAAAAGCACCTCTAAAGAACCAAAGCAAACCGCTACAACTTAAAGTGCTTGCTAGCATATGTGGGATTAAGAATATATTAATAATTACAAATAAAACTTAAGTTGCTTTTTATAAATTATGCAAACCTCTAGAATCTAAGATTAGCTAACAATTAAAACAAAAGGCCAGGCACGGTAGCTCTTGCCTGTAATCCCAACATTTTGGGAAGCTGAGGCAGGAGGATCACTTCAGGTCAGGAGTTGGAGACCAGTCTGGCCAACATGCAAAAACCCCATCTCTACTAAAAGTACAAAAATTAGCCGGGCGCGGTGGTGTGCACCTATAATCCCAGCTACTAGGGAGGCTGAGGCAGGAAAATTGCTTGAACCAGGAGACAGAGTTGCAGTGAGCCAAGATTGTACCACTGCACTCCAGCCTGGGTGACAGAGTTGAGACTCTGTCCAAAAAAAAAAAAAAAAATTAAAACAAAAAACCCACCACGCTTTAAAGTTTGGAAAGGAAAGCTGACACACTTCCCAGACCAAAAGTGAGTGGTGCTGGGGTCTCAAGACCCAGGGTGATGTGGCGGGAAGGCATGGGCGGCCACGGGTCCCCTGCAGGGGCTTGGCCTCCTCTTCCTGGCCTCTCTTTCCCCTCCTGTCCCTCCTCTTGGCCTCCCCACCCAGCTGTCTTCCTAGTTGCTCCTGCTGTTTCTTCTGGGCCCATCCTACTGCGGCTCTCAGACACGCTTGTCTATTACCTCCCGGCGCTGCGTGCATTGCTTCCTGGAGTTCACTGGAGAATACTTAATGATGCTCAGTGATCTTATGCACTTCTCCCTCCAAGAAAGCAAAAGTCCAGCTGAAGGCTGGGCACAGTGGCTCACAGTTTTGGCTAAGGATATGTGAGCACTTCCAGACCAGCCTGGCCAACATGGTGAAATCCATGCAAAAATTAGCCAGGTGTGGTGTCACATGCCTATAATCCCAGATACTTGGGAGGCTGAGGCAGGAGAATCCCTTGAGCCTGGGAGACGGAGGTTGCAGTGAGCCGAGATTGTGCCACTGCACTACAGCCTGGGTGACAGAGCGAGACTTTGTCTCAAAAAAAAAACCAAAAAAAAAACCCAAAAGGCAGGGTGCGGTGACTCACGCCTGTAATCCCAGCACTTTGGGAAGCTGAGGCGGGTGGATCGCCTTTGGTCAGGAGTTCCAGACCAGCCTGACCAACGTGGTAAAACCCCATCTCTACTAAAAATACAAAAATTAGCCGGGCATGGTGGTGCATTCCTGTAATCTCAGCTACTGGGGGGCTGAGGCAGGAGGATTGCTTGAACCTGGGAGGCGGAGATTGCAGTTAGCGGAGACTGTGCCACTGCACTCCAGCCTGGGCAACAGAGACTCAGTCCCAAAAAAACAAAGTCCACATGAAACTGTCCCCTACCTGCTGTGGCTTGTGTCATGGCCACAGGGAGCTGAGGTCCAGCTGTCCATCCTGACTCCCCTTCTCTGGGAGCCTTTGTCCTCAACACCTATCTCTTTATTCTTTTTAAAAAGGAAATTTCCTCTAAGAATATTCTGAGAAGTTGCCGGCCCCACTCTGAGCCAGCTCAGGGTCCTTGGACGTCTGATAAGTGGTGGATGAGCCTCTCCTGTAAATAGGGCTAGGAAGGAGGAGGTGGGATGGGACCACTACCCTTGGGAGGTGGGGTCACCAGGCCCCTCCAGCTCAGGGAGGCCCTGTGCCTTTCCTTGGTGTTCTTTTAGGGTTTTTCGGTCTTGCAGGACATCTTGAAGCAGCCCCCTAGCCTGCAAGATAGAGCGTGGACTGCTCTATCTAACCAGTCACATTGAGGCCTGGCACCTCCTCTGTCCCCAGCCCCTCCATCCCCACCCCCGCGCGCGCCCCTCTACTGTGGGTGGGGACTCGGCCAGGCCCGGAGGGCGGCCTAGAGGAGGCAGAGGGCCTGAGGGTTACCTCCACCCAGCGCTCACCCTGGCGATGCTGAGCTCCTCGGCGGTGGTGTCCTTCTTGATACTCCCAGTCTGCATACTATCCAGCCCCCGCGCGTCCACCTCCTGATCCTCCAGCCACTTTGGCACGGCCAGGTGGAGCCCGGTGGCCTGGGAGAAGTGCTGCACCTGCGTGGCGATGCCTTGCACCTGGCCATCCATGCGCTTGAGCTGCTTGCTCAGGTCCTCCACCTGGCCGCCCAGGTCCTTCACCTGGCTCTCCAGGGCCGACGGGGGCGCCCGGGTCACGCTCCTGCGCTTCTCCCGGGGTGCCTCCTTAGGCGCCTCCTTGGGCGCAGGCAGGTTCGGGGTGCTGAGTGAGCCCCGGGAGGGCTGCGGCGACTGGCTGGGCTGGGCCGACGGGGTCTGGAAGTCGATCTGGGTATTTTGGAGGTCGAGGTTTTTGAGCATGGCCACGATGAGCGTGTGCAGTGCGGTGAAGTTGACGGCGCCCACCTCCGGGGTGCCGATGGAGAGGTCCGCCAGCTCCCGGAGGGAGACTGTGGTCACCGCCGTCGTGGGCGGCATCGTGGCTGTCGGGAGCTGTGAGCCGCCGCGGGGCGCCGGCCAACCACTCCCCACTCACTGCGCGCCGCGTCTTGGGGCTCTTAGGGGGCCTTGCGGGGCCCTCGGGGCGCCCCTGCCCCGGGTCTGACCGCCTCGGGCGAGTCACTGGACCGAGTTCCTGCCTCTGGGGAATCCGCCCTTCCGCTGTCTGTCGCCGGCCTCGGGTCCCCGGGCTGGAGCCCTGGACTCCCAGTTCCCGCGCCGGCGGAGGTTTGAAACGTAAGGGCCCCCCCGCGCACCCTGAAGATTCCGTCTAAGAACGCGCCCTCGCTGCGAGCTTCGATGGGAAGCAAAGGCCACCACAAGGATCACAAGGGGAGCCTTGGCAACAGGGGCTGAGATGGCCTCCAAAGTCCAGCTAGACTCCATCCATCCCCCTAACCTAGAAAGGCCAGGATTCACGCACTCTTGGGGGGCCACGTAAGGACAGAAAGACTTGAGGGTTTCCTGGCAACAATGCTTTGTGTCATCAGCCGCATCCATTCCACAGAGTGGTGGCCGCATGTCTAAGGGATGCAGGCCTGAGGCCTTGGTGCCCTGCAGAGTCCGCATATTTTGTTCAAACGTGAAGCAACTTGGAAAAAGACAACCCACTACTCAGGTGGTTCCAATTAGCCACCAGACGACTACTTGGTGGTTAGTTGTCCCTTTTCTGTGCTGCTACAATTTTTTTTCGCTGAAACGGAGTTTTGTTCTTGTTGCCCAAGGTATCGTACAATGGTACAATCTTGGCTCACAACCTCAGCCTCCCAAGTAGCTGGGATTACACCGGGCTAATTTTGTATTTTCAGTAGAGAAGGGGTTTCTCCGTGTTGGTCAGGTGGTCTCAAATTTCTGACCTCAGGTCATCCGTCCACCTCAGCCTCTCAAAATGCTGGGATTGCTGGCGTTAGCCACTGCGCCCAGCCTGCCACAAATTAATTTAGCTCAAAAAACACTCACCTGGTCAAGCGCCCATGCCTCAACTCATTACAAAGTAGGATTAAACAGCACGAGACAAATCTGGTGTTAACAATTGAGGCATATACTGGGCGCGGTGGCTCACATTTGTAATCCCAGTACTTTGGAAGGCTGAGGCGGGTGGATCACAAGGTCAGGAGATCAAGACTATCCTGACTAACACAGTGAAAACCCATCTCTACTAAAAATACAAAAAATTAGCTAGGCGTGGTGGCACATGCCTTTAATACCAGCTACTTGGGAGGCTGAGGCAGGAGAATCGCCTGAACCTGGGAGGTAGAGGTTGCAGTGAGCCAAGATGGCACCACTGCACTCCAGCCTGGATGACAGAGCAAGACTCCATCTCAAAAAAA